CACCAAGATTTGCAACTGAATGTTAATACTAAGAGGCTGGGCTCAGAGGGCTTACGCCAGCCAGCACTTTGCAAGGCTGAGGTTGGTGGATTATTTGAGGTCAGGAGTTTAAGACCAGCCTGACCAACATGGTGAAACTCCATCTCTACTAAAAATACAGAAAAAAAATTAGCCAGGCGTGGTAGCAGGTGCCTATAATCCCAGCTACTCAGGAGGCTGAGGCAGGAGAATTGCTTGAATCCAGGAGATGGAGGTTGCCATGAGAGGAGATCATACCACTGTACTCCAGCTTGGGCAACAGAGCAAGACCCCATCTCAAAAATAATAGTAACAGCCAAAAGCTGGAAATGACTCTAATGTCCATCAATGAGTAAATGGATAAACAAATTGTGGTATATTTATACAATGGAATACTCTTTCACAATAAGAAAGAATGTATTACTGATATGCAAAACAAAAATGGATTTCGAAAGCATTATGCAAGGTGAAAGAAGTCAAACACAAAAAGCAAGTTGTATGACTCAATTTACATTAGAAAGGTAAATTTATGTGTATGGAAAGCAGTTTGGGGCAGGTGTGGAGGCTCACACCTGTAATTCCAGCATTTTGGAAGGCCAAGGCCAGCAGATCACTTGAGGTCAGGAGTTCAAGACCAGCCTGCCACCAAGGTGAAATCCTGTCTCTACTAAAAATACAAAAATTAGCTGGGCATGGTGGAACACGCCTGTAATTCCAGCTATTCAGGAGTCTGAGGCACAAGAATCGCTTGAACCCAGGAGATGGAGGTTGCAGTGAGCCAAGATTGCACCACTGCATTCCAGCCTAGGCGACAGAGTAAGACTGTCTCCAAAAAAAAAGAAAACAGTTCAGTTGTTGACGGGCTTAAGGCCTGACTACAAAGGGACATGATAAAACTTTCTGGGGCAATGGAAATGTTTTGTATCCTGATTGTGGTGATAGTGACTGCCATATATGTTTGTCAAAACACAGCAAACTGTATACTTAAAATTTTATGTTAATATTTCAATAAAGCTTACTAAAGTCAGAATTAGAATCAATTATCTGTCAAACTCCTGAAGAACCTGTTAAAAACAATCAGGAGGCCATTAGGTTAAGCTGGGGTTCTGTTAGAGTAGATAGTCAGGTGGACATGAGCAGGGCAGGAGAGGGCCCTCAACTCAGGAATGTCAGGCAACCATCAGGTGATGGTCAGGTGGTTGTTACACTGTTTCTCTAAAATAATACTGAGTTGCAGCCAGCACCAGGGAAAGACAGTCTCCCAATAGACAGGAAACCCGTGAGGCTGATAAGCAGCAACTTCCTGATAAGATCTCCAGAGCTGGGTGAGTGGGCTCAAACATGTGCACTAAGAGGCAAAATGATAGAGTTTAACCAGTATATGACCTTCCTCTAGGAACCCTTGACTGATAAGAGAAAAACCTCTCAAGTAAGCATGCGCACAACCTCAGTAAACACATGCACATGTAACTCCTCCCAAGTGCTGACAGGCCACTATATATGCATACAGCCCATCCCAAGGGAAAAATCCAAGGAGGAGAAATGGAAACCCTGGAGACATGCTGAAGTATAAAACCCCAAGTCAAGGGCTGAACAGGGCACTTGGATCTCTCGAGTGGTGCAGTGACTCGGATACCTTCCCTAGTGGTAAGACATCCCTACGCCTCGCCTTCTTTGGCCAGAGGCATTCAACCCTCTTACGTGGTTTCCTTCTCCTCTTTCACTCTCCTGCTTACTAACCAACCCCTAGAACAATTCCTCTCAGCCACAGTGGCTCTGCTTCACCTGGCTATCTCTCTGTTCACACTGAAGGATGGCTTGCTGGCGTGGGAAGGACCTGGAAGTCTGCACTGAGTAGACTTGAAACACTAATGACCTCCTTGGACAGGAGGCTCATAACAGTGGTAGTGCTAAAACCAAAGACCACGTAATAATATCTGGTGAGTTTCCTCTGCTTTTTCAACTAAAATCAACTCTTTCCTGAAAACCCACCACCACCTATTCTCCTTTCTCTGTATGTCTTCCAAAATGACCTTGCACGCCCACTGGACCAACTGCATCAGGGGTACATCTGCCTTTTCTCTGCTCTCACTTTCCATGCCATGCAACTTTCTTCTCTGCCTTAAACACACACTCCTATTTGTTATTCGTGCACCTGCAGCTCTTGCTGTGTTAGCCTGGCAACCAGGAGATGGGCTGTCTTGTGGATGCCCCTTGATATTTATACTTGTTTTTACCCTACCAGCTCAGATGACCTCCGACCCTTTCCCTGTCTGTTGGCTCACTGCCAGGACAGACACTAATCAGAACCCCAGCTCTGCCAGCTCCTCATGACCTACTATGTGCTTTTCATCCCTGTTAGGCTTCAGGGCCATGTTTCTCACTGGCTTTTCAAGTGGTTTGCCTTATAGGACCTCACTCTGTGGCCTTTAAGGACCCCACCTACTTGCTTTTTTTTGGGAATTAGCACCCCTTTGGGAGGAGGGAAAATTCTTTCTCTGCCATTTGCAAGCCCTTATCCCAAACACCAAGTCCTCCAGAGGTTCTTCCTTTACGTCAAGAGGGCAAATAAATGTTACCCTCTCAAATCCAAGGGCTGCTGTTTTTGCGAGTATATGAAGGCTTTCCATGAGTCTTCCTCTTGCTTCCTCCTGCAGCAGAGGGATTGCTCTATCTGTTTAAGCATTTGTTCTGCATGTTACCCTGGGAGGACGAAGAACCCCAACTATAAATTTCCCTCCATTCCTCTAATCACTGCCATGCCCTTCTCAACATGCATCAGGACCATTGAGGTTATATCTGAAGGGAGGGAAGTCCAGCCCCCTTGCAGCAGTTGGCTGAAAAACAGGCTTCTCGTCTAAAGAACATGGGAAATGCGAATCTGGGAAAAAAGATAATCATTTCATTGCTAGAACACTCTGAACAAGAGTCACTATAAGGTCACAGAGACAAAGATACAGGTCAGCCCAAGGTGGCAGGCACAGGAGACCAAAGTACCCATATAAAGATGAAGACTAGTTCCAGGCTACAAACACAAAACAGATTACCATTTCAAAACAGATGAAGGCTACTCCCAGAAATGGGACAGGATCAGGGTAGGGTTACCCGGTAAACACTGGTTCATTCTGGAACCTTTGGATGAATGGAGGGCACCCTGTTCACTTTGGTCTACCATAGGCACAGGATTAAGAGAACAAGGGGAGACGCCCTCTTCTCACCTCTGTTCTCTCTTTACAAATGGGTAATTGTGCCTCCATAAAACAAGAAGGGACCGAGGTTAGGGGTACCTGGTAAGCACTGGTTCATTCTGGAACCCCTAGGATGAATGGGGGACACCCTTTTCACTCTGGACTGCCATATGCAAAGGAAAAATGGATGAATGGGGTAAAGGCCTACTCACTCTGGTCTGCAGTAAGTTCACAGTAAGTTCAGGAAAAAGAAAGTAGGGAAACTGGAGGGGTTGCCTTCGTTTTCCCTTCTCTCCTCTGTTCTCTCTTTGTGGATGAGTAATCGATTCTCCATACACAGGACACACTCCTCCTCTGTGCTGCTCATGAGGGAAAACCGTCTTTTCTCATTCATTTTTAGTGATGCCAGAATACCCTATGCCCCTTTTGGGTAGAGATATTTTGTTCAGACTAGGGGCTCAGTCAACCTTTCCTCCAAGGCCAATACCCCTTTTCTTTTTTTTTTTTTAATTGCATTTTAGGTTTTGGGGTACAGGTGAAGAACATGCAAGATTGTTACATAGATACACACATGGCAGTGTGATTTGCTGCCTTCCTCCCCTTCACCTATATCTGGCATTTCTCCCCACGCTATCTCTCCCCAACTACCCACCCCCCGCTGTCCCTCCCCTATTTCCCCCCAACAGACCCAGTGTGTGATGCTCCCCTCCCTGTGTCCATGTGTTCTTATTGTTCAACACCCACCTATGAGTGAGAACATGTGGTGTTTGATTTTCTGTTCTTGTGTCAGTTTGCTGAGAATGATGGTTTCCAGGTTCATCCATGTCCCTACAAAGGACACGAACTCATCGTTTTTGATGGCTGCATAATATTCCATGGTGTACATGTGCCACATTTTCCCTGTCCAGTCTGTCATCGATGGGCATTTGGTTTGGTTCCAAGTCTTTGCTATTGTAAACAGTGCTGCAATGAACATTGGTGTGCATGTGTCCTTATAGTAGAATGATTTACAATCCTTTGGATATATACCCAGTAATGGGATTGCTGGGTCAAATGGAATTTCTATTCCTAGGTCCTTGAGGAATCGCCACACTGTCTTCCACAATGGTTGAACTAATTTACACTCCCACCAACAGTGTAAAAGTGTTCCTTTTTCTCCACATCCTCTCCAGCATCTGTTGTCTCCAGATTTTTTAATGATCGCCATTCGAACTGGCGTGAGATAGTATCTCAATGTAGTTTTGATTTGCATTTCTCTAATGACCAGTGATGATGAGCATTTTTTCCATATGTTTGTTGGCCTCATATATGTCTTCTTTTGTAAAGTGTCTGTTCAAATCCTTTGCCTACTTTTGAATGGGCTTGTTAGTTTTTTTCTTGTAAATCTGTTTTAGTTCTTTGTAAATTCTGGATATCAGCCTTTTGTCAGATGGGTAGACTGCAAAAATTTTTTCCTATTCTGTTGGTTGCCGATTCACTCTAATGACTGTTTCTTTTGCCGTGCAGAAGCTGTGGAGTTCGATTAGGTCCCATTTGTCTATTTTGGCTTTTGTTGCAAATGCTTTTGGTGTTTTGGTCATGAAGTTCTTGCCTACACCTATGTCCTGAATGGTTTTGCCTAGATTTTCTTCTAGGGTTTTTATGATGTTAGGTCTTATGTTTAAGTCTTCAATTTATCTGGAGTTAATTTTAGTGTAAGGTGTCAGGAAGGGATCCAGTTTCTGCCTTCTGCACATGGCTAGCCAGTTTTCCCAACACCATTTATTAAGCAGGGAATCCTTTCCCCATTGCTTGTTTTTGTCAGGTTTGTCAAAGATCGGATGGTTGGAGATGTGTGGCATTGCCTCTGAGGCCTCTGTTCTATTCCACTGGTCTATATCTCTGTTTTGGTACCAGTACCATGCTGTTTTGATTACTGTAGCCTTGCAGGATAGTTTGAAGTCCAGTAGTGTGATGGCTCCTGCTTTGTTCTTTTTGCTTAGAATTGACTTGGCTATGCAGGCTCTCTTTTGGTTCCACATGAAGTTTAAGGTGTTTTTTTCCAGTTCTGTGAAGAAGGTCATTGGTAGCTTGATGGGGATAGTGCTGAATATGTAAATTACTTTGGGCAGTATGGCCATTTTCACGATATTGATTCTTCCTAACCATGAACATGGAATGTTTCTCCATCTATTTGTGTCCTCTCTTATTTCGTTGAGCAGTGGAACACCCCCTTTTTCAAATGCAATCTTATGCCTCAAGGAAACCATACACAAGGATGAACTGCTCATAGACCTTCCCATTTATCCAGAGGTCTGGGCCTCAGGAATACCAAGAAAGGCTATAATGGCAATGCCTATAGTAATTCAGCTCAAGAATCTTCTAGCTATCCTTCTAGAAGGCAGTTTCCTCTTCAGCTAGAGGCCAAAGAGGGATTTCAGCTCCTGACTGAAAAATTTCAAAAACATGGATTATTAATACCCTGTAATCCTCCCTGTAACACCCCATCTTCCCTATTAAAAAGGGCAATGAAGAATGCAGGCAAGTCCAGGACCTGTGAATCATAAATGAGGCAGTAGTCCCAATACACCCAATGATCCCCAACTCATATATAATTCTTCCCCAACCTCCAGATGCTCAGTGGTTTTCAGTCTCAGACCTTAAAGATGCTTTCTTTTGTTTCCCCCCATCAACCCATCCTCTCAATTTCTATTTGCATTTGAGTGGGAGAATGAAAAAGGAAGGAGTCAACAGCTCACCTGGAGAGTGCTTCCACAGGGTTTCAGAGACAGTCGCCATTGGTCTGGGTAAGCCCTAGCTAGAGATTTGCAGGACCTAACTCTTAAGAGGGCAGAGTGTCTCCTACAAAATATGGATGACCTGTTAATCTCCTCCTCAACAAGAGAACTGGGAATCCAACATCTAGTCTAAACACTAAATTTCCTTGCAGACAGAGGGTACGAGGTGTCCAAGGCCAAGGCACAGCTACTAAGACAAGATGTCCAATACTTGGGATAATCCTGATCCTAACCGCCAGAGAATGTAAGCTCTCCCCAGAACAGAGAAAAGCCATCCTTAGAATACCTACCCCAACCACGTAAAAGCAACTTCGGGCCTTTCTGGGGATCACAGGATGTTGCAGACTTTGGATACTGGGGTATGGTGGAATTGTTAAGTCCTTATATCAGGAAACTGATAGGGACCAACTTCTCTGGGAAGGGGATCAGGAGCAAGCCTTTAGGCAGCTAAAAACTGCCCTCTCCCAAGTCCCAACCCCTTGGGCTACCCATACCTGCCAAATCGTTTCAGCTTTTTGTCTCTGAAAGGCAAGGTAGAGCCCTAGGAGTTCTAACTCAAACCATCGGGACAATCAAACGTCCTGTAGGTTACTTTTCAAAGAACCTAGATCCAGTAGCACAAGGGTAGCAACACTGCCTTAAAGCAGTGGCTGCAGCGGCCCAACTACTAGAGGAGGCCTTCAAAATCACCATGGGACAGTCAATTCAGCTCCTGACATCCCACCAAATAGGCCCCTTTTTGGACATAAAAGGGTCACAATGGCTTTCTGAAAACACACTGCTAAAGTACCAAGTTTTGTGGTTAGAAAACCCACAGGTCATAGTAGTTGAGCAGTGTTCCACCCTTAACCCAGTTTCCTTACTGCCGCAACCAGGAGACCATAACAACACATTTATGTTGTGAGATACTTAACCAATTTATGCCAGCCAGGAAAACTTAAAAGATCAGCTCCTAGATAATCCAGACAACATATGATTTCAGGTGGGAATAGCTTTGTCAGGGATAGAACTAGATATAAAGGGTATGCTCTGATGTCCCTTCACCAAGTTATAGAGGCTAAAGCTCTGTCCCTAGGGACCTCTGTGCAACTAACCAAACTCATTGGGCTGACCAGAGCCCTAAACTAGGGGAAAGAAAAGGAGTATAGACAGATTCCAGATACACCTTTCTGGTGCTTCACACCCACGTGGCTATCTGAAAGGAGAGGGTGTACCTAACAGCTCCACATACTCATATTAAGGAGGGGCCTCAAATCTGAGAGCTACTAGAGGCTGTTCATTTGCCCCAGGAAGTGGCAGTAGTGCACGGTAAGGACACCAGAGGGGCTCCAATTAAACTGCATGGGGAAATAGGTTAGCTGACTAAACAGCTAAAGAGGCAGGCATTTCAAAAAGATACCATCATAGGGGCCTTGCTCCTCCCTCTCTCCAGTGAATTGCACCCTCTCCAATACACTAAGAAAGAAACAGATTGGGCCACCCAACACAGGTATTGAAAAGAAACCAATGGATGTATAGGTAGAGAGAACTTCTCCATCTACCTAAAGCCTCCCAATGGAAGCCATCAAGAGTTTACAGGACTCCTGCCACTTTGGAAAAGACAGTCTAGGGTAAATTTGTAGACAGATGTTCAGTGGGGAGGGACTAAATAAAACTATTCAACAGGCTTGTCAAGTCTGCACTCTGTGCACCATAAATAATCCCCAGAGGGCAAAGCCCTCTCCATCAGTAAGTCCAATCCAAAGGAGAGGTACATACCCTGGCAGATGGACTTCACCCAGATTCCTGCACACTATAGGTGTTAAGTACCTCTTGGTCTGTGCAGACAGCTTCACAGGATGGGTAGAAGCCTGCCCTATAAGGACTGAAAAGGCACAGGAGGTAGCTAAACTCCTCCTAAACAAACTCATTCCCCAGTTCAGGCAACCCAGGTCATTGCGGAGCAACAATGGTTCATCCTTCATTTCCCAATCAACTCAACAGGTTAGCAGTGCCCTAGACATAAAGCTTTACTCTGCCTGGAGACTTAACCTTCAGGAAAAGTGGAATAAACTAACCAAACCCCCAAACACATCCCCATCAAACTCTGTCAGGAAACAGCACAGCCATGGGTGGACCTCTTAGCTTTAGACCTCCTTCTGATTCACTGCCCCTAAGGCTCCCTTGCAATTAAGCCCCTTTGAGGTCTCATATGGTAGGCCATTCCTATATTCTGACATTACTAGATGAAGAAACTGCCAAAATCACCCACTATATTTCTTCTTTAGCAGGCTTCCAACAGACCCTCTGGGAATATGGTTTACAAACAGATCCGAAATCTGAAGGGGAAAAATTCCCACCTCTACATGCTTCAGGCTCACAACTTCTCATTAATGTCTCGAAAGATGTAACTTCAAATTCCCAACGAACTACAATCTAAAAGGGCCCCTTCACCATTCTATTATCTACCCCTACAGCCATTACAGTACTGGAGATTGCCAGCTAGATCCATCACACCCAAGTGAAGCCGTGGAAAAGCCCTTTAACACCAGAGCCAGAACCAGCAACCTCAGCTCCAGAATACACTTGCGAGGCACTAGAAGATCTGAAATTCCTCTTTAAACAAAAAGATAAGTAAAGCCTCACCAACAGTCTTTCACCTCAAAGTAAGGTGATCCCAATATTAGAAATTTTATTTGCAATTGCTCTGATTATCACTATTTTAACCCTAACTTGTACACCACCAGGAGTTCCACTGGCATCTTGCTTTGTGACCAGTTTCTCTCTTAAGTCACTATGGGCCTGCTCCTGCTGGTTCTCATTCTCACTCCTTTATTAGCAGCCTATCGCCATCCTGATTTCCAGTTACTGGAAAAAGCTCAGCAACTGCTCCAAAGCACAGGATCCCCTTACTCCACCAATTGCTGGTTATGTACTAGCTCATCCACTAAAACACCAGGAAGAGCTTATCCAGCCTCGTCCAGAGAATGGACAACCACAGAGGCAGAATTACATATTTCCTATCAATGGGACCCTAATCTGAAAGGACTGATCAGGCCTGCAAATAGCCTTCTTTCAAAGGTAAAGCAAGATTTCCCTGACATCCGCAAGGAACCTCCCATTTTCGGACCCATCTTTACTAATGTCAACTTAATAGGAATAGCCCCTATTTGTGTTACAGCCAAAAGGAAAGATGGGATAAATGTAGGCACTCTTCCAAGTACAGTCTGTAATGTTACTCTCACTGTAGATCCTAACCAACAGACTTATCAACAATACACCCACAACCAATTCCGCCATCAACCAAGATTCCCCAAACCTCCAAATATTACTTTTCCTCAGGGAATTTTGCTAGATAAATCCACCCAGTTTTGCCAGGGACGCCCAAGCTCATGCAGTACTCGAAATTTCTGGTTCCAGCCTGCTGATTATAACCAATGTCTGCAAATTCCCAAACTCAGCTCTACAGCAGAATGGGTTCTGTTGGACCAAACTCGAAATTCTCTTTTTTGGGAAAATAAAACCAAGGGAGCTAACCAGAGCCAAACGCCATGCGTCCAAGTCTTAGCAGGCATGACTATAGCCACCAGCTACCTGGGCATATCAGCAGTCTCAGAATTTTCTGGAACCTCTGTCACCCCCTTATTTAGTTTCCATATCTCTACATGTCTTAAAACTCAAGGAGCCTTCTATATTTGTGGTCAATCGATTCACCAATGCCTCCCCACCAACTGGACTGGAACTTGTACCATAGGCTATGTATCCCCGGACATCTTCATAGTCCCTGGCAATCTCTCTCTTCCAATACCAATATATGGGAATTCCCATTTTCCCAGGGTGAGGAGGGCTATCCATTTAATTCCACTTCTCGTCGGACTCGGCATTGCAGGCAGTGCGGGAACCGGAATTGCTGGAATTGCAAAAGCTTCCTTCACTTATAGCCAGCTCTCAAAGGAAATAGCCAACAACATTGAGGCCATAGCTAAAACATTAACGACCGTGCAAGAACAAATCGACTCTTTGGCAGCGGTAGTCCTCCAAAATCGTCGAGGACTAGACATGTTAACGGCAGCACAGGGAGGAATTTGTTTGGCCTTAGATGAAAAATGTTGCTTTTGGGTAAATCAATCAGGAAAAGTACAAGACAACATCAGACAACTCCTAAATCGAGCCTCCACTTTACGGGAACAAGCCACTCAGGGCTGGTTAAATTGGGAAGGAACTTGGAAATGGTTCTCTTGGGTTCTTCCCTTTACAGGTCCACTTGTTAGTCTCCTACTTTTGCTCCTTTTTGGTCCATGTCTCCTAAATATAATAACCCAATTTGTCTCCTCTCGCCTTCAGGACACAAAGCTCCAGATGAAACTCAGTAAGAGAGGCCGTCCTCGCAATAGTCAAGAGTCACCCTTCTAAAGAGGACCCCTAGACTCCTCATTAGTGGGACACAACAGAGGCAAAATCCTGCCCCGCCTCCCTTGGACCTGGCTGGATATTGCTTTCGCCAATCCACAGAGCTCCCTGCCCTGACAGTTAGCAAGAGGCCAAGACCCACAGGACAACCACTACAGACCCTCTGTCAGCAGGAAGCAGTTAAAGAAGACTGACCTTCGCCCATTTTCCCAAATAATTGGGTCTTGGACTCTTGGCAGGGGGAATTGTTAGAGTAGGTAGCTAGTCAGACATGAGCAGGGCAGGGGAGGGGCCCCCCCACCAGGAATGTCAGGCGACCATCAGGTGATGGTCAGGCTATTGTCACGCTGTGCCTCTAACATAATAATGGGTGGCAGCGGTGCCAGGGAAAGATGGTCTCCCAATAGACAGGAAACACCTGAAGCTGGTGATCAGCAGCTTCCCCATAAGATCCCAGGAATTGGGGGAGCAAGATCAAGCATGCGCACAAGAGGCAAATGGTGGAGTTTAACTGGTATATGATCTTGCGTCAGGAAGGCTCGACTGGTAACAGAAAAACGCCTCCAGTGAACATGCGCACAACTTCAGTAAAAACACTGCATATGCATCCTCTCCTAAGTGCTGGCAGGCCACTATGCATGTAGACAACCTGCCCCAAAGAAAAAACAGAGGAGGAGAAATGAAAACCCCAGAAGCATTCCATTGCATAAAACTCCAAGTCAGGGACCTAACAGGGGAATTGGATCTCTCAAGTTGCCAGCTTGGCTCTTTTCAAGTGCACTTTGCTTCCTTTTGTTCTTGCTCTAAAACTTTTACCCCTGCCCTAAAACTTGCCTCAGACTGTCATTGTCACACTGCCTTCCCCTCCCCCCCCCCACCTGGCCAAATTCCTTCCTCTCCTACGACAGGGCAAGCATCAAGTCTGCTGCAGACCCATCGGATTTGCTGAGGGTAACAGTTCCAGCATTTAGGTTCCAGCAACCAAACAAACTAACACCCAATTCAGGGTAAACAGCCAAACAAAACTTAAGCTTAACCAATTAGAAACCACCAACTAACCTCTAACTAGGACATTTCTACTTGAACCAATCAAATATTTTCTTTGTCTTGCTTCTGTGAGCACCTTATAAAAGTTTCCCCTTGGCACCTCGATAATAGAGCCCCAATTGCCTGCAGTTTGGCACTGCCTGATTCATGAATCACCCTTGCTCAAATAAACTCTCTAAAATGCTAATGTGCCTAAGTTGATTTCTTAATACATCTTTGCAGACTGTATGACAACCAATGAACTAGACAATCTACAAGATGTGTTCACACTTTTCTGTAATCAACACGTTCTAAAGCAGTCTACTATCTTTGAAATGTACATTATCCTAAGTAAAGCTGTATTAATCTAAGGATAGTTTAAATTTCTAAAACTAAATTCAATCTTTAAAAATTGATTTTTCAAAAGTCAATTAATTCATATATATCCACCTGTACTGAAGCCATCCTTAGAGCGTTAATGAGAATTCTGGACAGACGTATCATTATCACTAAGCATTAATCAAGCTGTACTTTGACCCATTTCCTTGTAACCAAAAGTCACAATACACTAGACACTGTCCATTTGCATCTCCACTGTTCCTAAAAATTGGATTTTTGAGTTAGAATCATAAGGCTTTTAAGGATTGCTTACGATGTTTTTCAGATTCTAGAAATACAGTGAAATAGCTGTCACCAGTTTAAGACCAGTTTAAAGGCCCCTACAGAGGAATCAAATCAGCATGAGAATAGTTTCTTCATCTCCCTGTCCCATGGCTTCACCCCTGCACTCTTCAACCAATCAATCAGCTCATTCCAAAACCCTTAAACCCTAGCCCCAAACTCCTCAAAGACGAATTTGGGTTTTCCTTTCATCTCCTCATTCGGAAGCCCTTCCATAAAACCTCTTTGCCGCAACCTGGTATTGTGAGAAACAGTCCTATTACAGTTATAGTACCTCCGTGTAAGACAGATCAGAAAAAACACAGCCAAACCTCGATATTCCTGAATTATTTGTGAATGTACCTACCTGCTGAAATAAGAGTGGTTGAGTGCATTGCTCAAGTCACACAGCTAGTAAGCGGCAACACTAGCTATGTGACTTGATCACACAGTCACAGATCAGCCCAAGTCCAATGCTAATCATAGAACAACAAAGCTCTGAAATTAAAAATGTGACTGCTAAAATTAAAAATTCGATTTAAGAGATAGAAGAAAAAGCCCCAAACACCCCCCCGGAAGAAAGGGGGAGGAGGGAATTAGGAGATAAAAAAGATAAAGAATCAACCCAAGAGGCCGGGCGCGGTGGCTCACGCCCGTAATCCCAGCACTTTGGGAGGCCGAGGCGGGTGGATCACGAGGTCAAGAGATCAAGACCATCCTGGTCAACATGGTGAAACCCCGTCTCTACTAAAACTACAAAAAATTAGCTGGGCAT